TTAGGTTTAGAGAATCATGCCAGAATCGACATCACTGGCTCGCAAAGTCGCAACTCCCTACCTAAGAATCAGTGTTGCCATCAAGTTTGACAGAGTTGCCGTATTCAATACATCAGATTGCCGTATTTTTAAATAAAAATAATGATATTGCCGTATTCCTTATTTTTATTAATTAATTTATAGGTAGTATAGAATAGTAACTAATTTGGAAAAACAAAATTTTATCTACTCATTTAATATCATCGCCATACAAATTTTTAATAGACTCAACTATTTCGCTATCTTGTTTATCTAAACAATATTTGTCCTTATTTTAAATTTTCACACACATGTCACGGGATGGCTGATATGTTGTACAGTTAACTTGATTTTTGATGGTTTGCTTTGCCAATAGCGTTCCATTTAATGTTTCAGTAAATAGTGTACAGTTTGTTTATAAAGTCGTGACATTAAATGATGGCGCCACTAGTATGCATGTAGCAACCCTGTACAGTCGGACCAAAATGATTTTGATACTAGCAGTTCCTTCAAGTAAAATAGGTAATTAATAAGACACACTATACAGTCGTATTTTGTTTCTGTTTTATATATAGTAGGCAGTGTTGACTAAAATGTAATTAACTTCAAATTAACAATTTCAATTACAAATTTGTAATTGGTTACAATAATTACAAATTACTTGAAATTATTGAAATGTAATTCAATTAGCAATTGTAATTGTTAATTGCAATTACTCAATTACTTATATATAATCTCTTTGAACGACGAGGTAGTATTTTAAATAAAACTATTATATTATGATTTATCAAATGTTTATTTACGAAATAGATCAGATAAATTGTGTAATTATAACCACCTTTTTTAAAATTAAGACAATAAATGTTTAATTTATTTTAAATTAGACATTAAAACTATCTTTGTTCAAACATTTGATCAGAAAGATTGTAAGATTTTGGTAAGTTAATCATTGTAGCATATGAGAACAATCAATCGAAATAAAGGTGCACGCCGCCGAGAGACTAGAAAAGGGATAGGTAGCTGTGTAGGTACTGGTAATGAGGCACACACTTACACACTCATAAATTCATGGCAAATTATACAATAAAACTTTGTTTGTGTTGTGCTTGTTGTGTTGCGTACGGGCTAATAACCATCAAGGCATCAAGCTAATAACCGCTTAATTTTAGTAGTTTATTATGTTACCCTTAAAAAGTAATTGAGTAATTTAAATTACTTCGGACGTAAGTAATTGAATTACAGTAATTTCAAATACATGTTATTTCAATTAAAGTAATTCAATTATTATTCATTGAATTTGTAATTAAATTACAGAAGTAATTAATTACGCCCAACACTGATAATAGGTACCTATGCTTATAAAAAGTTTAGTCAAGCATATTTAATTGAATCTGAATAAAATTATTATAGATAAAATAGTACTTCATAGTGTAAAAGTGTGTAATGTTGGTGATTACCGCTGAGGTGCCATTGAGACCAGAGCCATTAGGTAATCATCAATACACACAAGATTCATCATACGACGTTTTTTAACACACTTGTTAAGAAAATAATACTAAAAATCATTTTATAGTATATAAAAAGTTTATTTAGAGAAACAATTTGTAAATGTGCAGTTAGTAAAATTAGTGATAGGTATCTTCACTAAAAGCATCTGGCCATGGTTCTTTATGTGACCATTTCTTTCTTTGGTCGGCCTTGCCTGTTTTCCCAGGAGTTTTAAACTTTCCATCATTCTTATAACCTTCGTTGTATACTATATCCGACTCTCTGATTTTCCTGGAAAAAAGTAAAAAAATATGTAACGGAATAGAAACAATAACTTATTGACATGAAGCAATTAATTCAAAATTGGTAGAAAACCTGACCGAGTTGAACCATAATAACGTATCAAAAGAAATGGTCGTACTACAATATTACCTATTTACAATGTCAATCTAACCTAAAAATGTGCAATGTAAACAATACCTTTTTTGGTCTCAAAATCGTAAACTGAGTAAATTTGTAACTTCAGGCAGATTACAAACAAATAGTTACACGATTACATACCCGTTATAGATGCTGTTCGCCCATAAACATCATCCAAATCCCACAAAATTCGTCCAGCTTGGTAGTCTTCGAAACATCGCTGGAAAACTTTAAAAATCACTTCCCGCGTGCCACTCCGATTTTCTTTACTCATTTTTATACCTTTCTGCGCAGTTTCGTCTTAATTTATTACAGTTTAATCCAAACAATAAGAAATACAAAAGGAAAACTATTCCACAACTGAAACTCGATGACAGCTGATGTATGTACATAAGTTTGGTGTTGCCAGACACATGAATAATGTTAGTTCCTCAAACATGCATGTCACGACTTTATAGACAAACTGTAGGCAAGTTCATACATGTTCTGCGAGATTTCCAGGGGGGGGGGCAGCTGCCCCTCCCTGCCCCCCTGGGTACGCCCATGCTCGCGGGTCAAAAGTTATCCGCTTAAATTGTGTTGCATGACCATAATTAGCTGTAGTTAGTCACAGGTGTCGATTCCGGCGTGATTCTCTAAACTTAAAACTAAATTTGACATAAGTCTGTCCTTTTCATTCTGTATAGAGAATGACAAGTATACAGTGGTGTCGATTCTGGCACGATTCTCTAAATCTAAACTTAAATTTGACAACAGTGTATCCTTGTCATTCTCTATACAGAATGAAAAGGACAGACTGATGTTAAATTTAGTTTTAAGTTTAGAGAATCCCGCTGGAATCGACACCACTATTGTCAAATTTAGATTTAGAGAATCATGCCAGAATCAACACCAATGGTGTCGTATCTAGCATGATTCTCTAAACCTAAACTTAAATTTGACAGCAGTATATCCTTGTCATTCTCTAAACAGAATGAAAAGGAGAGACTGATGTTAAATTTAGTTTTAAGTTTAGAGAATCACGCCAGAATTGGTACCATTATCTGTAATATCTAATTATTATTATTATATGTGCACTCAATATAACAATATTGCGTACATTCTCGTTATGAAGATAAAATAATCCCTTCGATGCTTTTATAAAGAACACAAATAGTTTAAAAATTAAATAACAAATGCCTCGGCAACACTTTTCATTCGTAAAACTGTAAAAACATTTTTTCCTCAAAATCACGGTTTGTCGTGAATGTTATGTACGTAATCGCCATTTTGTTACCAAGAAAAGGACAACAATACGCTGCGTTGAAGCATATAGTCCTGTCTCGCTCGCTCGATTGAATGTTTATATACAGACGTGTGCGTGTGACAGCGTGTGTGAGAGTTGCTTATGTAGCTGAGTCGGATCATATTTTATTTGATGCTAGTATGAGCGTACCGTATCTAACCTTTTTGTTTTAATCTAAGCAGTATACCAATAAAAAGTAAAGTTACACAAGTAAATACCAAGCCACAAGGGCTGACATTTTTGTAGATTTTCTGACTTTCCACTGGTGATCTTCCAGCCTTCTTCTCGAACTAAAGAGATAATTGCATATCCATCGATGCTTTTTAGAACAAGTATCTTAGTGACATTATAATAAAGCAGTAGTGGATCACTAAATAGCACGGTGATTCTCACCTTCACCTGTCAAAAGCAGTTAAGTGGCATATTACATCTCGACTGTGATTTTTGCGTAAATTGGCGTTCTTAATCTCAGAAACAAATATACATTAACAATTTTGATCTATTGAATAGTGCAGAATAAGTATTAGCCTAGTTCGTAGCGGCCTCGCTTTTTTGTAAATTTTGCTTAACATTTTAATTAAATCCAAAATTGCAGAGAAAGATTTTCATAAAATGCGCGAAGGCACTTTTTTGAGCTCCTAAATTGAACTACTGTTCTAAGCAAATTAAATAAAATAATGAGAATGTTATCTCATATATAGTCGTATAGTTCGTAGCGGCCTTAGAATTTTGAAATATCTTTGATTTAATATAGAAAAAAAATTATTCTAAACCTAAAAATCTTCAAAAATCGCTTAAAGTTAATTGCGATTTGCTCCTATTTACGATAATATGACTAAGCAAAATTTATACCAGAACAATTGTTACTTCATGAGGAATAAAGATTTTATAATTTTAAAGAATGAATTTATTCACTTATTTCAATTAATACGATAAATACAACTGCAAAATTACTACAAAATGCGATCGAACTCAGTACTGCGCGAGCGCTCCTCAGCGTCCGACCTGTGTCAAATTTTTTCACATTTTTTGCGCCATAATCGATCGAGCGTCAGAGTATAGTGCGACCAACAAGTTTTGATCAGGTAAGTATAATAGGCTAGTTGACCCTTTTTGGAAAAAGGTTGTAAATGGTTAATTAATGTTCTAGTAGACCGAAAAAAAATGTATTGTATTTTTTTGAGACCTAGAAAGCTACAAATCTTTAATTTTAAAATAGAATTTTCATGGACATACAAAAACGCTGTTGGCCATTTTAGTCTATAGATTGTCTATGCTATGATGTCAACTGTAGTAAACAAAAACTCGTAAGCACGTAGAAAATAACTTATCTGAGTTTATAATAAAAAGAACATGATTTCTTATAAATACCACGAAAAATAAAGTAATTATCATTATTGTATTGTACGAGAATATAAAAACACATCCTTGAAGACAACAGGAATGTTGTGGATTAAAGTGCCGAAAGAAATTAACCTACGCAACTTTATTACACTTATTCATATGTTGTATCAGTTTTATGTTTATTACTACATTGTAATAATAAATGCACTGTACTTACATAGATGCCTTGTCGTTTCTCTGCTCCGCAGAGCAGAAATCGGGGTTTAGTGCAAAAAATTCGCCAACCATTAATGCGTCAATTCTTGGCAGCCAAGGACAAACGGAAAAAAAACTTAGGGCTGTATGAACTCAGAATCCTTTGCCCGTCCCAACAGGGACAAATTGACCCAAAAAAATATTTTTGTGACAGACAAAGTCAGTGTCAATTGTCAAAGTTGTCAATCAATCAAATTCAGATCAAAAGATTCAAAGTTTTGTCTCGCGTTTTGCCATGCGTGGTAGTTTTCGTTATTGCTAACTCTTTGCTTTAGCAAAGAAAATTATTCATACCATTTGCTAAATATTTTAGTCTAGGTGTGCACACGGCACATTTTAGTAAATTTTACAAAATCTCCCTAACTTATCAGCAATTTCATGGAATAGTTTGTGTAATTTTGTTCCGTATTTTATTTTATTTCGCTGTAGCAATAATGTCTACACGAAGGGCCAGGATTAAAGCTGTTACATCGTTACCACCAAGAAGAAAGAATGCAGATAATGCTGATAAAGCAGCCCAAGCAAAGGAGATACAGAAGACGATAAAAAGTCCTCTGAACCCACGATCTCTTCTTAAGAGCAATGTAGTCGATGACAAAACTTCAAAGACCCCTCCAGCACCGCTCCCTCTTAACAGCACTTCAAATTCAAGCAGTAAAGTGGATTCACCATTGGCTAAAACTGCATTGGGTACACCCAAATATCAGTCTGTAATTAAAACCCCGAAGCTTGCTGAAAAGGTATCAGTGATTACCTCTGCATCTTCATCAAAATCGGTTTTTGCCTCACCTCAGCCAAGAACTGACAGCCCATTAAGACATAATATGGCATCCCCTTTAGTTATCGCTCAAAGATTAACCCCTAAACCTGCTAATTTTGAAGCTGCTAAGCCTATCACCCCTCAAATAATTCAACCTGAAAAAGATATATCAAAAAATGATGAATCTCAAAAGAATTTTGGTAGTGCTAATAAAAGTGATATTCCAGAAGGTACGAAACCATTTTGAAATATTATTAAACTAAATACATTTACAAATTGTTTACGAAGACACTTTTTTCTGTAATTACAGATTACAATGTGCCAAGTGTTCCAGAGAGTATACCTGAAGACGCTGTAATGGATGGTATTGTCCCACTGCAGCCCACACGGAGTGCTCCTAAGCCAATAGATTTGCTTAAGAATGAAATTATATCTGAGAATGCTGAAGTACTCTTCGACCCAATAGTACCTCTTCCATCACCAAGTAAAGTCCGTCCTAAGTTGAGACCTATACCAAGGCTGGCTCCACTCAGACGAAATAGTATACAGGTATTTGATATTAAGAATCTATCATTCAAAATTTCAATAAATATGGCAAAGAAGCCGAGTATCAAAGAGTAAAAAATAGAAAATTAAGTCCATAAAATTTCAACTAGAGCTCTTATTTGTTCAAAGAATAGCATAGCAGCATATATAGTAATTCCTTCATGTTACATTACTAAAGAGATATTCATTACATGTAACATTATTGACCCAAATGTAATTTTTGCATTTGAAACTCATTTTTATTAATTTTATGATGCCTGATAACTAGATAAATATAACGACTGGTGTGTTATGATGGCTGAATATTATTAAGTAAAATTTTGATTTATGAAGTCTGTCAAATCTTTAATTCGTTATACAATTAAAACATTTATCAAATGCAACCATGCTCTTCATAGGTGCAACAGAATATAAGAATATAATTTAACAAATACCTATGGAGTGAATGGAGTCCAGCTAGTTAGTTGCATGGCATATTTATCCATTATTTGCTATTTGTCTGTTTGTCTCTATAAGGAATGAAAAGGAGGGTCAGTTGTCAAGTTTACAAATAGCAAATAATAATAGTCAACCAAAGTTCTAGCATTACATGGTAGACCCCCAAGAGACAAGATTGCAGATTTACTGTGCCAGTCATCACTTTAAAATGATTAATTCACTGTGGTTGAAATAAATTCAAGCATTTTACTATACTTTTTAAATAATGAACTTTTCAGACGGGTATAAATAATATATGAGAGCATATGACTAAAAACTATAATTTGTAAAAAGAAATACTTTGTTATAATTTTATTTTTTTTAAAAGCATGTAACTGCTTGATGTTTAAATATATATATAGAAATACTTTGCTTCCACATAAAGAATTCTCTTATTCTAAGTTGGGGCTGGTAAAATTAAGGACCTATTTAGGTACTCTAAATCCATTTACTAAATATTTGTTCATTCAATACAAAATATGTATTGGATGTTGCAAAATCTATTACATAAGAACGATTTACCATAGCAAAATTTATCCATTCCAAGTAAACTTTAACTCTAAAAGGTATTTTTATAAACTTAAGCAAACCTATAAATCTCCCATTCATTGAGGTTACTCTATATTTGATCATCTGGTTCAACACAATATAGTAGGTTGGTACATATTTTTAAACCATTTTATTTGCCTGCCACTTATTCTGAACAATGTATTGTGTAACCTTTGATAAAATATTTGCTTTTGATATAAGATAAACTGCTGCAGGAGTGTATTATTGGATTCTCATATTCAAGTGCAATAGCACTTATATAGTAATTCAAAGGTAACAGTATAAGTTTTATAGCAGAATTCCTCAGCACTTTATGTATGTGACCCACACTCAAAGCCTTTAATAAGTACCGTTTCATTTATAAAAAAATCATTAGTATTTTTACTTGTGCTGCATTAACAAGATAATGGCAATTTTTAAGGGTAGAATTAAGTAATGTTAATATCAATAAAATAGGCCTATTGCAGGAATAGCAAAAAACTTCTGTCTGGGTGTGCCTCAAATATAGTCTGACTAATTTGTGTTATGACTGACCATTTTGAGAAGTAGTCGAAGCAAGGCTTAGGCCTGTTGTGTTATTGTCCATATGCAAGTTTGGCACAGGGAGACATAGGCCTCTTGTGTTATTTTCCAAAAGCCTCTTGCTGTCTTGTCCAAAAGCTAATCTGTTACAGTGAGACATCTAGCAATTTTTGAAGTTACAATTCAACAAGTATTTATACCATATTTATAAGCCAAGACCGTTGAAGAGCATATCGGATTATGGTCAGTGTAGGACTTCTGTTGGCATTTTTACAAACACAAAGAACAATCTCCTTCAGTTTCTATAGTGGCCACTTGACCAGTGAAGAGGGAAATATGGGATATAGAGAAAAATTTATGGATGATGGATTTGTGGCGAGATGCGTACCTAACGTTTTAAGGCTTACTGCTAATTAGGCATATCGCGATTTCGCAATACAAACAACTTACTAAGCTTGCTGCGTTTGTGTCATATTGCGAAATAGCTAATATAAGCGTTATGCTAATAGCAACAAAGGCGAATACCGATTTTCAATTGAAGTATTGTCATAACTCGCCGCGCAGCGTTGCCAAACGTATGAGAACACTAATGTTAGATTTAGCAGTCTCTATGATCATGATGAGGTAAATAGAAGTCTCGTTCACTTTGATATGAGATTTGAATAATGTTGACTGTTTGTGTCATGTACACAAACCAAAAATATTATTAGAAAGTAAATAAATATCCAGTCCACAAAGTATCGACTCAGTAAGTACAGCTTCATTATGCCATCACAAAGTGTGCGAGATTTCTAATTACCTCGTGTCATGTATAGAGACTGTTAAATCTCATACACGACCACACAGGCCGTTGGACAGCACTTTAAGCTCCCGTGTCCCATTAACTCACTGTGCCACGCCATTCCACGCCCGTCAACGCCTATCGCTGCACGTGTCGACCATTTTAAGCTGGGGTCCCACGGCCCGTTAACTCACGAGCCGCGCCCGGTGTAATGAGTGAGACTAGGATCTACGCAGAAGAGCCTCAAAAGGCCGCGCGCCGTGTGATCAAGGCTTTATTGTTTAAAAATATTTAGTTATAGTATTAATAATGTAATCTAGGGAAGCGCCAGTGAGTCAGAAGATGAAAGCAGGCGAGCGCTACTCAGCAGCGGCGCGACTACCCCGGCGCCGCCCCGCCAACGACACGACTCGCACACCTCTCACAGCACGCTGCAATCACTCAACAATCGGTACGAAAAGTCATCTCATTTTATTTCTTCTGGCCCCGTGTATGTTCAGGCACGATCAGGTTTCACGATCTGTGTTATTGCGGGCGAGGCAGCGCCGCGCAGGTTTGCCAAACGTATGATAACTCAAACATTCGAGATTTAGCAGTCTATATATGGTATAGAGACTGCTAAATGAGGTAAATAGAAATTTCGTACACTTTGATATGAGATTTGAACAATGTTGGCTGTTTGTGTCATTTATGAGGTTATGTGTGACAGGAAGTTGGTTTCTACTAATAAAGTAATTATATTAAACACAAAAGAAAAAAACCCATAAGTTGTATACATATTTATAGAAAATTGATATAGCTTTCAATTCATGTCTCCGTTATCAAGGTGGATATGGAAGAAAATGTAATGTACTGCTTTTGCTTTATCATTGTTATATTAAGCGTCAATATAAATCTGGCAGGGATTGATTGCCCGATTACCCCGGCTAACGAATAAGGATGCATTTAGTAATGGCATAATGAATCTGTACTTACTGAGACGATCCTTTGTGGACTGTACATTTATTAACTTTCTGATAATATTTTTGGTTTGTGTACATGACACAAACAGTAATCATTGTTCAAATCTCAAGTGTACGAGATTTCGATTTACCTCGTATCATGTATAGAGAGACTGTTAAATCTCGAACGTTAGTGTTCTCATACGCTTGGTAACCCTGCGCAGCGCAGCCTCGCCCGCGACTACACAGATCGTAGGACAGCGCCTTTATTTAGCTGAACGGCTGGCTTGATGGGTGTCCGTGATGCTAGCGTACCCATGATCAATATACGGTTTTTCGTTATGCCATTAAATACTGCGTAAATAGTGCCAAATTAGTGTAAAAGTAAAAAAAATAGTGCCTCTTTAATTTAAGAAATAAAGACCATTTTTACTGTGTACGCTACCATGACGTCAAGCTAGCGTACCCATGGCCGACCCCAAGAACGGCATATAATTAAGCAACAAAATTGACACACAAAAATAGTTCGCAAATAGTGCCCTGGCTTTACAAAATTTCATAATCAATACTCTTAAAGGACCAAAGATATTGAACTAAACATTCTTAGCTGGCGTCAACCTGGCGTACCCATAATAGTTCTCATAGAAAATTAACTTTTCTCGTTATCAATTCTATATGTATAAATAGTGTGTCAAATAGTGCCTCTAACAGTAAAAGTATTTTATGTCAATTCGCAGTAAAACAATATAAAAAAAGCAATTAAATTATTTTTATATATGAAGTACAGTCATGTACAGAAGTGATAATATTTTCGTAGTATAGTAGGTAAGTAAGGTACTTAGTAGGTAGGTAGGTAGATAGGTTGAAATTCTTATATGAATTTATGATTGGTGAATTCGAATTGAAATATAATATCTTTTTATAAAAGTACCTATTTATTTTAGTAAAAATACATATATAGATAATCTCTTAGTGCATAAATTAATTTTGTGTGCAACTGTACTACAATACATTTGTTCCTAGAATTTAACACCCTCTTTATGTATTGTTGTGATGCGGATTCACATAAAATTCTTTTACTGTTAGAGGCACTATTTGACACACTATACATATAGAATTGATAACGAGAAAAGTTCATTTTCTATGAGAACTATTATGGGTACGCCAGGTTGACGCCAGTTAAGAATGTTTAGTTCAATATCTTTGGTCCTTTAAGAGTATTGATTATGAAATTTTGTAAAGCCAGGGCACTATTTGCGAACTATTTTTGTGTGTCAATTTCGTTGCTTAAATATATGCCGTTCTTGGGGTCGGCCATGGGTACGCTAGCTTGACGTCATGGTAGCGTACACAGTAAAAATGGTATTTATTTCTTAAATTAAAGAGGCACTATTTTTATTATTTTTACACTAATTTGGCACTATTTAATGGCATAACGAAAAACCGTATATTGATCGTGGGTACGCTAGCATCACGGACACGCTTGATGGTAATAAAAGAATATTAAATATATATTAATGCATTTGATGCATAGTGTTCATTAGATGTTTTTGGATTTTGTCAGACAAGACAGCATCTGTCGGATTCATAAGAAATCGAACACAATTATTTACTTAAAAATGTGTTCGATTACAAATCGATAAGCAATCACGAGTTTAAACATCAGTTTAAAGAAATAAATTTCAAAGTTGGCTACTTAATCATCTTGAACACTGTGTCTGCCTTTTTGTGGTACAATTGTCACAGTTTACTATCTCACAAAGTAGATTATAAATAAACGATTAGTACATATTGTACAAATAAATATATAAGATTGTCTATGATTATTCCAGAGATGTAAATCGGATACGAAATGACTCCATATCATCCAGTATTAGCCAAGTCGTGACGCAGCCTCCACCAGCGAGTTCACCTACTAAAGAAAAACAATTCAAGTAAGTTACCATCATATTTTCCCCTGGCTACATGCATGCAGCATGGCATGCAGAACTCAGAAAAAACTCAACTCAGAACTCTCACAGATTTAGCAGATTTTAAACTTCAAACATAATAACAATATCTATATTTTCTTTTGTCAAACACGTCAATTTAGACTCTGCAAGTAAATTTTAAAGATGAATTAAATCACATTTAGTTTTTATATTTAAATTCTTATTCACCTGAAGCGCATCAACATTTTAGTTAGCTGACGCCTTACTTAATCGAAAAATCTTAATTGTTGAAAAAATTTGATCCATCCTTGAATATCTAATGGGTCCCGACTATTAAAGTAGCTTTGTTCCTTACTTGACAGAATTATAGTATACTGGACTTGTTTTTTTCTTTTCAGTTTTTATTTGAAGTAATATTTAAGCAGTCGGGTTTTTTGATTTTTTAAATTTACCCTTTCTTAGCAAACAAAATTGATAGCATCAACTTTAGCCCAGTTTTAACTTAAGTCTACGTTTTGTAATAAGGCGTCTAAGGTATATAAATTGATAGCATCAGTTTTAGGCCAGTTTTAACTTTAGGCTACGTTTTGTAATAAGGCGGCTAAGTTTTATACCGCACTATCGGAGTTTACAACTTTATTATCTTACTTATATACACCGAGAATTTTCATTTACCTGCGAAATGTTGCTGGCTGTTTCAGACAAGGATTTCGGTTATGTTTCCTCAAAAAAAAAGTTTTTTAACTGCAATTTTTTTTTTTTGAAAAATGTCCTCCGTAACAGACTATTGCGTATTAATGCAATTAGAAACTTGAACAAATTTAATTATTATAAATTGATTCATATAAATGTACTTCTAGAATCTACGTATGTTAAACGGGTGATAATGAAAAAAAAATATCAAGATATCCTATAACGTTTTCTAGTTTTAGGATATCTTGATATAATTTTTGTATAGTGCGTACGACTATCTTTATTGACGTGATTTTTAAGTATCTCAAGTAACTCAAAATTCACGGTGTATAATGCTGTTATACAAAGATCATAAGTTACATATGTAGGTCGCGTCGTCAAGAGATGAGTCGTCGTATGGCTGCTATGCGCCGGCGCAGAGAAACAGTCAAACGGGACGCTCTCACCATGTACGACTTGATATTCTACAACCCCACCACAAATCCAATTATGTAAGTAATCAATTTTATTAAATAAGATAGAGATATGTGGCTATTTTTTGTTACTCCATTTATTATCATCATCGGCCTAATAATGTCCCCACTGCTGGGGCACAGGCTTTCTCTATGGATGGAATAGGGAAATCGGGCCATGACCCACCACGCGGGTCTAGTGAGGATTGGCGGGTGCTAACAACTGCAGATGCAGCCGGGACTACGGCTTAACGTGCCTTCCGAAGCACGGAGGCACTCGAGATGGAAGATTTTTCATCACCTATCCAATGACCGACTGTAAAACAGCTTTCGCGCCCCAAAAAAAATACGAGTTATTCGCTCGAGTACTCGGATTAAAATTCACTGAAACAATTAAAACTCGGTACTCAGTAAAACCTGTACTCGGCCCATCAATAATTTAAACAATATTCGTACAAAACACTTTACGGATAAACGAGCCATACTCCATATTTTAATCGCGAATTGAGCTATACTGCTTATTTTAATAGTATGTTATGTTTGCCGCTTAGCATGACAACGGATAATTTTGCTCCCAAATGGTAACGGAGTGGGGATTGAAAACGTGCAGTTGGATTAGATTCTGATCAACCCAAGCACGAATTTTGATAGCTCCGCAACTATAGTCTGTCCATTCTATAATTATCTTTTTGACAGATCGACGCCCATGGTAATCTTTACGTTAAAATGTCATACAAATAATATTGTACTTCATGGACGGGTACCGCCCACTTAAATAGTGAGATGTGCCACACATAATGATTACTAAATTGTGTCACAGATTACAAATAATCGGTAGAAATAAATGAGCACAACCAAATTGTAAGAAAAAAGTCAAAGATATAAACATTTTTTAAATGAAATTATTAATTATAATCAATAGATCTAATTGTACAGAGTATTAGTATTAGGATAAACAAACATATAAAAAGTATACTGCTATTTTCTATAATATGTATATATATATTATAGAAATCACACCCAGACACAGAGCAAACATTCGTGCTATTCACAAGTACAAATATTTGTACTTGGTAAAATAATAAATCTAATGAGATTTTGTAATAATTTATTATATTAATCACCAGTATTTTTGATATCTAAAATAATTTCGATAATTATAATCGATTAAACAATGTTCTAGTATAAAATCGATTATAGCTTTAAATCGAATGATTTATGTGATATGGTGTCACTATTTTTACTTCGATCAATCTGCCAAAAAGATAATAATAGAATGGACAGACTATAATCATATCGTATCGGGTGGCAAACAAGCATATAACCCGGCTGTTGGTAAGCGGCCACCATAATCAAAATCATTTATTCAGTTTAGGCTGTTCATGAATATCTAGAAGCTACGGCAACTGTTCGTAAATCTGCGGCGGGAGACCTTGTACTGAGAAGAACCGGCAAGAAACTCAGCAAAGACTGTTTTTTTATTATTATGTACAGAGTAGTCAAGTTAAAAAATTACTTTAGAGATGAATCATGAAGTCACATTTCTTGACATAATGTGAAATATACATTAATTGTTTACCTGCATTTTAGATTAGCTGATTTGCTGTCTCATACGGTATAAATAACCTCTTGTCGTATGCCATACCAAAAATATCATTCGCGCCATTGCCTAGACCCTGACCCTTCCTGACCCAAACCCGTGTAGCCCTGAAACCTTTCTCACCAACCGAAACACAAAATCCGTTATGCCTACCTCTCTTAAGCTTCTAACGTCGGATGAAGATTAGTATAAATAACCTTTTTTTATATAAACAAGATGCGTATTAAATCCAAATCTTTCCACAGCCCCGATCAAGACGAGATTAAAGCCAAAGAAGCGAACAAGAAGGACCAAGAGTCGCGGGAAGCCGAAGAGGCGGTCGATGACCCGGATGACCCGCCCGCGTCGGAAGCGCCCGTGCCGCAGATAAAACTGGGGCCCAATGGCGAAATCATACTGGATGAGACCAGTTTGGTGAGATTTCGTAACCATATCTTCCCACAGGCCCGATCAGGACGAGATTCGACGAGATCACCAAGCTATTTACTCAAAATCAAGATATGTTTATTCAAATTGGATGTATAGTACAACTCTTTTGATTCATCCAAATTTTTCCCTACCTGTCGTTACTGCTCCCACACTGTTTCATTATAATAACACATAGATACTTGTCCCAAAAAAATATGCAATCTTCACTTCAGTTACACTCTGTAAATGTCAGAAAAGTTGGCGAATAGGTCTACAGGACGAGACTTAAGCGAAAAAGAAGGACCAAGTGTCGCGAGAAGCTGAAGAGGCGGCCTTCGTATATGTAAAGTGTCAGATGTCTTTGCTACATATGAAGTCATTGTAATTCGATTGATGTACGAATATTTTGTACGGCGGATTTCCGAATAATTCGTATATCCGGATAGTACGCCCTAGTTGTAACGCTAGCATTTATTTAACCACATTCTATTCAATTATTTAGAACAAAATATATTTTCCTAGAATAGATAATAGGATCTCCGGGGCAGGTGCGTATGGTTCCCATTGAATTGTTGTAAAATAATAAATACGAGATTTTCATAGGTAGATATTTATCACGATCACTTCATTGGTTATTCCTTATTGTTCGTTTATAGGTGATAAAACAAACCGACAGCAAGCGTAAAGTTTCCTCCGTAGTCCGCGAAGGCGCTTGGGGCAGTGGCGGTGGGAAGTACACGCGATCGAGTCGCACCGCCGACTGGAGCGCCGCCGAGACCGTGCGCTTTTATAGGGCGCTCGCAGCAATCGGGACTGACTTCACGCTAATGGCGCCACTGTTCCCCGACAGAAACCGGCGCGACCTCAAACTGAAGGTGAGACCTTCGCTTCTATAGTCTGACAAGGATCTTCATGAATGTGGCGAAAATTGAAACTAACACCCGTCTTTGTAAACGTGATATTTTGTATGTCATTTATGTAGACATTGGCGCCCTCCCTGAACTATCACTCACATTCATAAAAATCCTTGTCGCTCTGTATAGGGCGCTGGCTGCCATAGGGGCCAACTTCACGCTGATGGCACTACTGGTCCCGGTGTGACTTGAAGCTGTAGGTGAGACGATTGCTTCTATAGAGCGCTCGCCGAAATCGGGACTGACTTCACGCTGATGGCGCCACTGTTTCCCGGCAGAAAGCGGCGCGACCTTAAACTGAAAATAAGACCGTCGCTTCTATAGTGCAACAAGGATCTTCATGAATGTGGCGAAAATTGGAACTAACGCCGCCGTCTTTGTAAACGTGATATATTGTATGTTATTTACGTAGACATTGTCGCCCTCCCTGAACTGTCACTCACATTCATAAAAATCCTGGTTGTTCTGTATAGGGCGCTGACTGCACTAGGGGCCGACTTCACGCTAATGGCACTACTGTTCTCCGACTGGAACTTCCATTCATTGCAAAGCTATATACGTTCAATAGTATAATGTTTAGCTTTCCAAAACTCCTACAGTTAAAACTTATACCGCCGTATTCCAAAACGCGGACTAAAGTTAGGCTTGGTTTACACCTAATGTTGTCTCCGTCGTCTTTTTAGGAAGCAAAAGTGGCAGCATCAGTTTTAGTCCAGGTTTAAATTTAGCCTGCGTTTTGTAATAAGGCGCATAAACATTTACTATTAAGTGATTGTAAATGTTAAACCGTCTTATTTTGTTCAAAATCCCACTTAAACCCCAACTAGACCAATATTTCCATTTTCACATTATAAAAGCAATTATCTCATTTCGTATAGTTCAAAAAAGAAGAGAAAGTGAACGGCGCTCAAGTGGACAAGGCACTGAGGTCAGCCACCACGTGGGACGCGATGCAACTCCAGGAAGAGTTCGAAAGAGAACGAAAGGAAGCGGCAGAGAAGGAAGCTGAAGAAAGGCAGCGGTTGAAGAAGCAGCGTCAGGAAGAGGCGCAGCGGATCAGCCATGCCAGACAGCACAACGTGAGAAAAAGTGAGTGTAACACAAAGAATCAAAAGTCATTCTTGATTCAAATTGGAAGCATAATACAACTCTTGAATCGTCCATATTTTTTCCCTACCACCAATGGAGAAGTATACACAAAGCTCCACATAGATGGCGCGGCAAACACATGACCCAAACCACAGCCGAATATAATTAAATTTTAAACATGTTTTTTTTTATGTTAAAAATATTAAATACGTGGTAAAATGTATTTAACGTGGTCTGTAATAGCTGAAAACAGAGTTGAAAAGGAGGGGAGCATATGTGCAAGGCAGAAAAACTGAAAAATTAGTATGCTAGAATGCTCATTCTCGAGTAGAGATTGATGCATTTTCCATGATTATTTTAATAGTATATGGATCTCAGTAACTTTTAGCAGACTCATAGTCAAATCTATCTTATTTTTGCATCCGTCGGACATCTCATAGAGTTTGGTTACCTCTGGCTAAAATGGGAAGTATGACATTGGGTTTTTTACAGACTTGAGGCATATGAACACAATTTTAATTTTTGGTGCGGTTTTTTCTGATCAAAATGAAGACATCCAGATGCAATTACCTGCCCCAGATCCATAACATGATGTAATCAGCAGCTCAGTTTTACCCCCCATTTCAAAGCAACATACAAAATTATATTTTAGTCAGTAAGCATGCAGTTTTCTCACAACAACCAGCTACTGCACAACGCGGCATTTGTAATTTGTTTAATAAAAAGCTAACAAATGAATATAAGCTAATAGGTATGTATTTGATAGCAGTTTTGGGTCAAGCGATTACAGCGCCCCTAGTAGCCAAATTTTGCAGATTTTTTGTCTATAAGGACATTTTTTAACTGTGAAGGAACCCGTTTGTGTGCCAAATTTCACCAAAACTCGATGAGCCGTTATTGCGTAATTTACTATGCTACAAATTAAGATAATTATAGACAGAATTGATTTTATATGTATTTTAAAATGTTAAATAGCGCGAGTTATACCTGTTTACTTTTTAATTCAAAATTAATGTTACGCTGCCACTATAAAAAAATATGACCCTCGTATTACTTTTTTTTAAATACTATCTCTTCTATTAACAGGTCGCGCATCCAGAGCAGTCGAAACAACCGTCCTATCAGATGTGCCTCTCAACAAATCGCACGAGGGTCCGCTCACGGCAAACGAATTAGTTGACCGAGCGATCGAGGAGAAAATGGCCAAGGCTAAATTACGAGCAGAACGGGCGAGGAAGAAAATGGGATACGCGACCTTAACCCACCACAACAACGTTCAAAATCCCACTTCCACTGCGAACGCCAGCCAAGAAGGCGATAAAGAACTGGCTACTTTAACAAGGCTCGAAGCTACAACGCCGACGCCCGCATCAGCGCCTGTTATTTTAAACGCTGTGTCGTCAATCCCCAAAAATATAGAATCCGGATCTCTCGTGGTTTTAACGGTCAACGACCCGACATCACCTTCGAAGAAAATGTTGCAAACTTATATAGCCCATGGTGCGGGTAAATTGACTCCAATTGCGTTACCACCGAACTTATTTAATACTGTCGTAGGTTATATGAAGAAAGGAACGCCAAAAAGTAATTCTACAGGTTCGCCGCAGTTCATTTCGCCGGTTGGTAGTAACCATGAAAGGACTAGCACGACCCCTAGCGTGATACAATTGAATCCGAGTCCGGCGAAAAGGCAACGGAATAGTTCATATACAATTACTCAACTATAGCATGTAAGTTACTCATGTATAATATGTTATTGTAGCTTAACAATATTTAAAGCTTATTTCTTAATTGGGTTAGAAGAATTATTTATTGCGAAATTGGTTAACCTTCAGTTGTACAGAACATTTTTATATTTATGTGATAAATTAGTGCCTGTGATTTCTTCTGCGTGGAAAAAATGGTTTCCCATACAAACATCCAATCCCCTTAAATATTGATCAAATCTATCCATCAAAAAATTTTATCTAAATCGGTTCAGTGATTTAAAAGTAGAGATGTAACAGAAAGACAGCTAGAAACATTCGCATTTATAATATTAGTATTGATTAATATGTCTATAAGTTTGTTAGAATTGTGATTGCGTGATAGCCATCTGCAATAAAAATATCCATTACGGAATAAACAGGATTGTAGGTGCAACGTTTTATTACAGACATACAATAGATAATTTTCAACATTCAATAGATGTTTCGATTTATTTATCCTCCGATCGATTTATTCTCGATGCGTTTGTTTCATGCTCATTTTACTGTGAAGCTCTCTCAATTAAGATGTACCAATAACCAAATTGTCAAGCATCTATATTTAAACTTTAGTTAGTACATAACACTTGAAATTACAGTTGATCAAGTTGTATCGTTTCAAGATATAAAATATCCTTTAAATTTAATATATCTATATCACACCAGTTAATGTAAGAAGTTTATATTATAAGTTAACAATGAAATATACATGCATTATTACTTGTACAAAAGGCTGTTATAGCGAGATACAGAACGAGTAGTGCGCGTGAGAAATAAATATATACCTAACAAAAGTAAGATATTTTTAAACTTTTCGTCTACCGTGACAATTAAGCGTATTTTTTTACACGCTTCTATGAAATTTACGTGTATTCCGTTTCTGCTCTTTTGCACTATTTCATCTTGTGCTGGCACTTTACGATTCGTGTTTGTAGTAGAAGATCCAAGCCTACATTGACCTTCATCGAGCTGATAATAGAATGGAACATATTTTATCATGAATTTAATATATAAGACAATATATTAAAAATGGGTTGCCTAAAAAAATCAGGGACAGACTATTTTTAATTTAATAATATATATATATGTTTTATTAAATATTGCAACATCAAGATAACAAGAAAATGTTGTCCTGACCTAACGTAAAAAACTTATAGAATGTGTAAACGAATGACTGTAAGTCCGGACAACATTTTCTTATTAACTTGATGTTGCAAAAAAAATTTTTTTTTTTAATTAATTAAAAATAGTCTGTCCAGGATTTTTTAAGGCAACCCATTTTTAATATATTTTCTAATATACTAAATTCATGACAAAACATGTTTCATTCTATTATTATCAGTTCGGTGAAGGTAGGTAGGTATATATACGATGTAGGTTCGGATCTTAGACGATTGATATTTCTAAACTCGACAACTGTCTGTTCTTATCGTGCTTTGAATGCACATGAATGAAATGAAAAGTACAGACTGATGTCAAGTTTACAAATAACAAATACGAATAGTCATGTAAATACCGGCACTACAGTGCATATTGTTGTAGTGTATCATCAGAATTGATTTTTTTCAATAAACTTTGTTCATACGCATAAAGTATCTCACAGACAGACGCGGCCTGTGCTTATTGGTTAGACGACCTCCGTGTCCGAGTGGTTTGTACGCCGGGTTTCATGGTGTCGCCGACTTGAGAGGTCCCGGGATCGAATCCCGGTGGGAGCAAATGTTTTTGTGATGAATACGAGCATTTGTACTCCCAGTCATGGATGTTTAATACTCCGTGGCCGAGTGGTTTGTACGCCGGGTATCATGGTGTCGCCGACTCGAGAGGTCCCGGGTTCGAATCCCGGTGGGAGCAAATGTTTTTGTGATGAATACGAGCATTTGTACTCCAGTCATGTATGTTTAATATGTATTTCTATATATATGTCGGATGGGCGAGCGGGATATAGGCGGTTGGCCACGTGGCTCGTCTTGATACGCCATCTTGGTTATTCAATGATATTTCCCGAAAATAAAACTGTAGTATAGTGACCAAGCTAACGAAGCGCGGAGAGTTCTGTGCTAACGTCCGTTCACTATCGCGGCTCACTTCTGAATGCTGAATGCCGAATGCCCCTTCCAATGAAGCGTAGCCCCTTATATACTACCCTTAGCATAGACCACTCCCAAGTGATGACAGCTGTCACTATCATTAGTTGACGTTTCACAAAGCAATGGTACAATGACTGATGACATTTGTTGTCGGTTTTGCGTTTCGTAGGAGCGAGCGAGACGCCATTCGCCGACACGGCCATGCTGCCGCATCACACGTCCTCGTGTGCGCCTGTAAAGAAATATCACGCCAGTAGTATTTACCATTGCTCGGTCATCTCTGACCAATAAAACGCCCTTACACAACAATCAGATTTGTCAAAGCTCTTTTTACAATTATATGAACAGGTTTATTACATACTAACTAAAAGTAACCCTTAATTAATCGACTTCAAAGGACTTCTGAAGTTCTAGCTCAAAATCAAATTTAAACTTAGCATCTGAATATTCCGAACACATGCCGCGATTCTCTACAGTGCCTCCCAGTGCCTCCATCAAGCGTTGTGCTATTCCCCTAACTAGCGCCTCAGTAACACCTCCATCAAGTGCTACTGAATTCAATCACGCAATGTGTCGGCAACCTCCAGTACATGATCATCACTGTGATCAACTAACTCTTCTAAAATTATTTGAGCTTCAGGCATCCTTCTCAGTCTATCGTGGACATACCTGTATGTTCTTTTGCAATCTAATGCCTTTAACAAGTAACGGTCCCTATCAAGTGACGATAACCTTGCCTCCTCTAAGTGACGATAACCACACGTTGCCTCAAGCAACCTAGCCAACTTATTGCCTAATTCGAGCAATACATCAGATCTCTGACCTTAGCAAAGCATAATTAAAATCAACCAAGACAGTTTAATCGACAATATTCTAATTAATCAGACATAGACTCAGAATATTGGTCAGTGGGCTCTACATCGTCACGGTAATAATATCATACAGTATTCTATCTTCATACAAACGGTCGGAAAGCGAGTCATACCTACGCCACTCGAGTTCGATGTGCTCTCGGCGTGCACCCAGTCGCAAATGCGCCGCCGCGCCGCAACGACGACCGAACGGTCTGAATTGTTTTTTATGCAGTGAGCCGTGCTTAAACATGCGTTTTGTATTGTAAATATTTGATTTAATTAAGTAGATACCTACATAATTTAGTATGGAAAAGAACAAACGACGATCAATATCGTACAACAGCACAATTGCTGTTTTTGGTTGCTTGAACTCTTCAATAACACACCCAGAGATATCGTTTTTTAAATTACCTGAAATATTGGAAAGGTGTCTTACCTTTATGGAATATTTTTTATATACCTATCTACTAGTACGTTATTTGTTTCTAATATTTAGGTATTTCGGTTTTTCCATCGGGCAAAATATCTGGAATAATATATAAATAAGTGGTTAGGATGAAAAAAGAGACAAACGAGTAATCTACCTACACTCGCGTTAAAAACAAAACTACATAAAATACTGTAGGCTGGCGGCCCTACCGCGTGCCAACGCAGCGCTCGGTGTAGGCATTTATTTTCAAGGACAGGGCGGAGTCACAATACTGTATAGATAATATTACCGTGACATCGTCTTTATCACTAGTCTCAGTAGGAACATCGACATCTACAACACCGGTTAGAGTAGAGTTATTTTACCACCAGTAAAATTATTTTACTGTGGTCTTCTGTAAGGTAGAGGTTACTTCCCTGTACGTGCGCTGCAATTCTAGAGGAAAATCCACTATGCCCTACTTATTAGCAACTCTAATTAATCAACACTCGGCTCTTGAATCGTATGTAAAATGAAAACTGCTCACCGGGCAAGTCGTCGGCCTGTGGCGGTCTTCTCGCGCTGCTAATGTTGCTCTCCAGACTGCTCCATGGACAGTTCTTCAGTGGTGATTGAAGTTATCCTTGTTCGCGTTGAATACATGCAAGTGAATCTTTTTGTTAGCCGACGGTAACTTCATCACTTCAATAACGGCCATAAAGTTGCGTTTTCGGTGCTTCACAAATCTCATCCATCTCTCGTCGCCATTACTGATGTTTTTACGCTGGTTTTCATCACTGGGTAATCCCGCTTCTGATGTCGGATGGGCGAGCGGGATATAGGCGGTTGGCCACGTGGCTCGTCTTGATCCGCCATCTTGGTTATTCAATGATATTTCCCGAAAATAAGACTGTAGTCTAGTGACCAAGCTAACGTTTAATTTGAATCTTCTTATTACTTTACAAAATCAGTTATGATTGCCAAGGTACAAACGGATTGCTTTGTGAAGCGTGGAGAGTTCTGTGCTAACGTCCGTTCACTATCGCGGCACACTTCTGAATGCTGAATGCCGAATGCCGATTGCCCCTTCCAATGAAGCGTAGCCCCTTATATACTACCCTTAGCATAGACCACTCCCAAGTGATGACAGCTGTCACTGTCATTACTTGACGTTTCACAAAGCAATGGTACAATGACTGATGACATTTGTTGTCGGTTTTGCGTTTCGTAGGAGCGAGCGAGACGCCATTCGCCGACATATATATGCAGTGGTTGTCACATAATTAAAGACACCCCCTAATTAACCAGAAAATCTTTGTTATTAAACCATACACGACGTTGTATTCTTACAATGTGGGACAAAAAATTGTTGTGTTTGTTAGTAATTTAGACACTACTCACTTATGGGAACGTAACTCAAACTTTTTAACGTATGTATAGCTAGCTGGCCAGCTAATTAAACTCGATTTGCTTAGAAGAAATAGAAAAAAAAATGTTATTATTGAAATTATCTTTATTAAATCAGGACTGTACGGGGCAGTGGCGTAGCATGGGGGGGGGCGGGGGGTGCGGTCCGCACCGGGCGGCACTTTGCCGGGGGCGGCGCTGCGGAGGTGGCAGATAGAGAAAAAAAAATATAAAAAAAAGTGATATTGTGATAGTCTACCTTCTACTCTATGTCAAAAAATGATAATTTCACTCTTAGGTTAGTGTTATTCAATAAAAGTACTCTTTTTACCATGCCTCAATTTTTTTATAATGGATTGCAAAAATAAGAGGGCGGCAAATTTGGAATCCGCACCGGGTGCTAGTGACCTATGCTACGCCACTGGTACGGGGGCAATCCAAAACTGTCACAGACTGGTTCCTTAAAATGTCTTTTATTACTTTTGCAGTGTGTTTTGGATCATTATTCTATTGGAAAGTCCAAATGACCAGTAAATTTTGCTCGGCATAGGGCAGTATGGCTTGTTCTAAAATGTTCTTGTACTGAAATTTATCCATGTTGCCTTCTATTTTCCTGACAGATCCAACACAAAGTCCTGAGAAACAGCCCCAAACTTTGATATTTCCGCCCCCATGTTTAACTACTTTCTTAGTATACTTTGGATCCATTTCTTTATTCGGGGGGCGTCTAACATTTTGTTTTCCGTCAGAATTAATCATATTAATTTTTGTTTCATCAGAGAAAAGCACATGTTTCCATTCTCGTTCAGTCCAGTGTACATATTTTTTAGCAAATGCTAATCTTGCCTTAACATTTTGCTTTTTCAAAAGTGGCATCTTCGAGACACTCTTCCGTACAAGTTTGCCTCACATAGTCTCCGTCTAATTGTTCTTGCAGACACACCTTCGACCCTCCTGCACCAAACAACTCCGAACGTATCAGTTCCGATCCCTTGAACGGATCTTTTTTTGCCAACAACACCATCTTAGTCTTCCCACAGAGTAGTTTTTCTTGGTACGTTTTCGGTCGTGTTGAACTTCTTGAAATGTTTTATAACATTCATTACTATGTCCTTAGAACAGTTCAAGTGGTTTACTATTTTTCTGTATAACCAATCTTTATTATGAAAGTTAAAAAAAATCTTCCTAGTGGACGAATCGCAACTCTTGTTTTTCCCATATTGCTGGGTTTAAAACGTATTAATTTTAATTAAATAATCAGGTTTTATATGTAATATCGACGTTTCATGAAAATACACGGCAAAACAAAGAAAAACAGAATGCAGTTCTTTCTTTATTTTTTAAAATTCAGAACACAGCTTTTACTGTCTTTAATTAGCTGGCCAGATACAAGTACGTTAAAAAAGTTTGTGTTATGTTCCCATAGTGAGCAGTGTCTAAACTACTAACGAACACAACTATTTTTTGTCCCACATTGTAAGAATACAACGTCGTGTATAGTTTAATAACAATTGCACTAGATTAATTACCAATTTTAGCCAATTCTAGTACCTTAAGTAAGTTTTTTGTGGTCAATTTGGGAGTGTCTTTAATTATGTGACCACCACCGTATATACTTACTAGCTGTCCCAGCGAACTTCGTACCGCCATAAAAAAAATAGGGGTTTGTTGGTAGAAGGGTGAAAATTTAGGGTTGTATGTATTTTTGTATGATGTATCATAAAAAATAAAAACAAAAGATTTTGTCCAAAAGAAAAAAATTGGGTGGACCACCCTTAAAATTAGGTAGATGAAAAATAGATGTTGTCCGATTCTTAGACCTACTGAATATGCATAAAAATTTTCAGAAAAATCGTTTCGGAGTAGTGCAATTACGCACACCGTAACACGAGAATTTTATATATTAGATATATGTAGCAGTATATGTATTCTATCCGTTACCCTAGTATCCCATAACACAAGCCTACAGTGCTTACTTTGGGGCTAGGCTAATTGGTGTGAGTGTTGGAAATATTTATATTGGTCGCTCGTGTTTGACCACTCTTTTACAATGCAAACGAACACAACAAGCCGCCATCCCGGCCGTCTGTCTGTGAGACACTTGAAGCGGTATTTATTCTATTGTCTCAATTCAGACTGATTAGTGTACATTTGCCTCATTATTATATTTCCTCAAGTTCCCTCTAACTTATGGAGCTGGTATTTTTTACCAACTTTATTATAAATAAATAATTGTACTTAGTATGTATATACATATTTTAGAAATGAAAGATCATGAGACAGATTGTAAAGCACATAACTTTGTGAGAGCAGAATTTTGTGATAACTAAGATTTTTGTTGTTTATTTTCTGCAAAATTGTTGATGTCTGTAAGTACGTATTATTAAGGCTGTTATCGATATAAGTATTACTTTTTTAAAAGATTCTAATTTCACAAACAACCTTTAATTCAAGAGTTCATAAACTTTATCCGGAAAAGTTTTTAGGTCTTTTATGCCCTGTTAAAAGTGTAGGTGCAATTTTCTTTGAATAAAATAATATCCATTCGAGCAAGCACGCTTAAGCATTGTTGCTGATTTAATTATCTTTGAGAATTGTTGTATCTGCAAGTTGCTAGACTTTATCGGCATCTACGCGTCAAAGTAAAAATAAAAAAAAATACAATATTGTTACATTAAAATTTTACTTATGAAATAATAGTCTTAAACTCTACACAACAGTTAAACTTCAGTCCGATTCATAAGCGCACTGTCAATGCGCCTCGACCACTTCGTGGGGGAACCATTGCGACGACTCCAGGGTGTCCCAAAGGGACAACGCTGGATCCAGAAACTCCTGGTTCAATTGGTCTATGTCTATAGACGTCTTGTGATCTGGAAATTAGGTAGAAACACTTTTTGTAAAAGAGGGTCATAAAAGATTTTCTGGCAATGAAAAAGGATGAAGAAAAAAATTGTTAGAATGAAATTCTGAATTAAGGTTTGCGCAGACTAGGGACTTTTGTTCGAAAAAATAGTTCGCTTGCATAAAGTCATGCACTAGGGAATAAAATTACCGCGAACAAAAAGTCCTCCGAATAACCGAGGACGCCGAGAGATCGGACTGGACAATAGTACTGGGAAGTCCCCAAAAGAATTAGAACTCATGTGTCTAGGCGCAGCAACGCACACAATGAACTTTAGTCTGCGTTACGCGCTTGATCTGATATACCTAAAGGGATGGTCGCAGTATTGTATTACACAAAGCCTGCTCTTTTCTTAAACTTCAGGTTAATTACAACACAACGTAAACTCGTAGTTTTTACGTATATGGCGTGCGCTTCTCTAAAAAAAAGACAACAAATTATCGCACATGACATGACGTATTCGGCGGGCATTTTTTTCAGGATTCAGGATTTTTCTCTGGAGGAAAGTCTCTAATCTGCGCAAGCCTACAAAAGTGAAATTTGTTATTCCTTAGTTAAGTAATAAAATGTGTCATTTAATTTAACTACGTGAAAGTTAGTTACTAGGCAGAATAGACACGAAAATAAAAAAACGAGCGAGCGAGCCTCACAGTAGTCGCGTATCATGTGTAACATTTGAAACCTCACTTTATATTAGTAAAAAAACCTACTTCAAAAGGAATAAGCCATTTGAACACTATGTTCTAAAATCAAATCAAATAGCGCGCGCTTTCGCGACTTCCTGTTACACACTTCCGTCCAATTTCACGAAATCACTCCCACAAATTGCAGGAAAGCGAGAGGAAAGATGTTACACATCAATAAAAATATACTTTTCTAAAGGTAAACCGCTTAACTGAGTCTTCGCCTCCGGGGTACAGGGTGTGGGGGTGTGTGGCTCCCCCACACTCTTTACCCCGCAGGCGAGGACTCAGTTAAGCGGTATACCTATAGCAGTTTGTTGAAGAATCGCATCTTTGACAAACAAGCAGGTAGTGAATTAAAAAATGCGCATAATATACGTTAGTCGGCGTGAAATTCTTCCTTCTTTTATAAGTTTTTTAAATAATATATCTTTGAAACCAGAAACAAGTCCAGTATAATGGTAAAGGCTCACTTGCAGCAAATTTACAAATCTCGATTCAACTTAAACTAGCGTTATCCCATAGAATAATGTCAAAACGTCAATGTTTTGACATTCTTGCATAGGCTAAATGTAGTATTGGTAAAATCGAGGTTAGCAAAATTGCTGCAAGTGGATATTTAGCCGGCTATACACTAGCTTAATCCGGAGTTTGGGACTTAATATTAGCACACCTCTTTATGATACTCAAACGTGGTGTAGTATGTTGTGTAGGTACGTCAGAATGCACAAATATTTTAGAGGTGAAAATTCTAATAATTATAAGGAAATGGGGAACAATAAGAGGAATGGCAATTTTAAGAAAAATCCCAGCTATCACAAAGGGAATAAAATTAAATGTGCTAAAGTGACAGTAAAATGCAGATAAAAAAAACAAGCTGTACCACTATGGCAATCAACTTACCAACTTGTCGTGTTGAAGTGTTTTCAAAATCATTTGAAGAAATATATATTGCCGTATTAATAAAAAGGACCAGAAATATCGTGTATTTTGAACATGTCGCTACGCGCTATATTATAAATCAAATCGCATTATAAAAATTTATTAATTACCGGTGAATTATGTCACGTTTGGCCTCTTAATGCCTGTAACGCACCCTTTAAACAGATTGTGAAAATAATAATCTTTTGAGCAAAATTATTTTTAGCGCCTGTAATATTTTGTTTGCGGAAGCCACTAATCTTAAATATACTATGATGTCGATTCCGGCATGATTCTCTAAACCTAAACTGAAATTTGACAACAGTGATTCCTTGACATTCTCTATATAGAATGAAAAGTATACACTGTAACATCAGTCATCAGAATTTGACCAATCATACAGGGCAGACTAAATAAAAACTGTACTGAGCTATAAAGATACATTTTAAACTTGATTGAAGTACTTTCATGTTTATATATAAATAATAAAAAACAAGAACATAAAAAGAGTGTCATTGATAAATTATGTACCATCTGAAAAGAAACTGTTTTATGCTGGCTCTTGGCTTGGCTATTCGTGTTAACTATTTGTAAACTTGATATCATTGTGTTCTTTCCATCTATACATATAATAAAATGGTAGGAAAGTCAAAACTGTACATTGAATATTTTTTTAAAAGGATACTTGGCGTGTGATCTACTATGGATACCGAAGCCAAAAATATAGTTTTTAGAATGTTTATCTGTTTGTCTGTCTGTATGTCCGGGATAAACTCAAAAAGTACTGCAGGGATTTACTTCAAATTTAGCACGAATATTATTAAGCAAATATATAGGCTACATATTATCACCTACGGGAAACGAACAGCGAACAGGGGTCAAAAAGTATGTGAAAAATAACTAACTCCACGCGTACGAAGTCGCGGGCGGCCGCTAGTTCCTTATAAAGCACGATAAGGATAGTCTGTTGTCAAGTTTACAAATAGCCAACTCAAGTGTCGCCATCGTATAAACACAAACAACAAACAAGTGTGCCATAACATAACCCTGAATCACTTACCGACTAGCGCCAAATCATCATTTTGTGCCTTGACGGCGGCGGATTGTGCCGGTTCCACGACCGGTGCCGCCTGTGCAGCCGCGGCCGCCTGCTCCCCCTGCCCATAGTAGCCAGACCACGCTGAGTAATTTTGCCAATAGGCAGACGGATCATAATATTGGCTGTACTCCTATAATCATAACTGCTCATCAGTATCACTACAAACCACCGCCTCATCGCCATGATGCTACGCTGTGGCAACAATTTTATCTAAGCAGTTTTTTCTCAAACATTCAGGATGCTAAGGTTATCCTAAACTGAAGTTATGATTTAGCAATGGCAAATTTTGATTCTTTAGATGCAACGAGCAGTCTTGAAGCCTTAATTACATACATGGCTAAATAAGCTAATTTGATGAAGCCAATACACAATTTCTATAATTTTTCACTCCAGCTATTTAGTACAGCGACAGCCATAATACAATGTTAATTAAACTAAACTAGAATTTCTATATTTGCCATCAAATGGTAAAAATAACAATAAGGTGCAAACAACTTCATAAATTATTATTATCGTTAGTATTTAATCCCCTTCGACCGTCTACAAAGCCACAGTTTCGCAACTGGTTTCGATAAACAGATAACCTTCCTTGAGTGCCTTGTACGTAATTGTAGTGGCTTAAATGAGGAATTATTCATCATGGAAAACTAAGCTCATAAAAAATACAGAATTTCCTAAAAAACAGTTATGAAATAACCGTTAAGCAGACGGCCGTATGCACTTCTGAACAGAGGCGGCGTAAGGCGTGGGCGACGTGGGCCACCGCCTACGGCCTGGCGGTACAAGGGGCCTCGCGCCTCAAAAATTTTTATACATTGCTTAAAAGCAAATTTCTTTTTTTTTTATTATTTTATAAAATCCGTCTTCAGGTCGCCATAGAACAGGGCCTCGCGGAATCTGTCTTGCCCACATCAAATTTAGGTCTTGCCCCGCCACTGAATCTGAATGCAACTCATTATTAAAAAATAGATCAACGTTATGATAAATCGTGTACGATCACACAGAATGTCACGTCACACAAAAAACTATCGAATTTGTAGGATTCGATCTTTATACTAATTCCTAGACTGGCGAAAACGATATATTAAAAGTACAATTTATAATTATGATGAAATCATAAATAAATAATGTTAATATCATCTAATACGAATGTTTTTACGCAAGAGCGAAGGAAAGTCGTCAGGCGTTTGTACTTTTTTTTTGTTGAAGCTGCGAAGCACGAAGCATTATAGTTTTAAAGTGGTAAATATTTTTTGGCGATATATTTCGAATCACCTTCCAACTCGAAGCTTGTTTAGCACAGAGTCGCACACACCAATCATATTAAGCTTGTGTACAATCTCAAATTAAATTTGAATTGAGCAAAAATATAACAAAATGCGAGAACTAATGAATGAAATCGTCCAACGGCGAGCAGTGAACATTTTAAAAATCACTTTCTTCATCATAAAGCAATTAAAGATTTGTAATGCTACGGCCACACTGTAGCGCTATCGCGAACATTTGACATTTTCATGACACATGTCACATTTAACAAAGCAATAGTCACATTTATGACTCTGTTCTGAAATGTGACTAATGTAGTGGCTATTGCTTGTCCCAACTTGTCGTGAAAACGAAAACTATTCGCGATTAGTACGACAGTGTGGCCATAGTGTTATAGTTATACATACATAAATGAACATACGGTAGGTAGCGGGAATTTATCGTAGTAAATTAATAATTTTCGAAAACTAAGCAAACACTGCTCGCCGTTTTGGCTGAAAATTTTAAGCATACCGTTCCGCTGTTATAGCTAGCGCTTGTGGTGGTCGTTGTGGATGTACTTTGTGTAGTGACTATAGTTTTTGGCTTGGGTACCGCTGTACAAATCTTAAGAGGTTTGTTGCCGAGCCCTGTATACCCATTCATTGCGTACAAAGCGTTTCTCTGTTCCCCTTCGTTGCCGAATCTGACGAAGCCATAACCTTTTGTGTATCCTGAACTGTCCAATATTACTGAAATACGGAAAACTTCTGTTAGTTAGGTGAAATTTTACTTGAGTCAGAATCCCAGCATTCTGCTCTACGTCTAAATTAACCAGAGTTAGGTAATTACACAGACACAATTAAAATAACTATACTAAACCTTTTGCAGTTTTAATAGATGAGTATTTCGAAGCGAACACTCTGTAAAGTGAGTAGTCGTCCACATCAGAGCTCAGGTCTCCTACCCACACCGAGAATTCTCTCTCCTGTTGCATGTTCGTACGGGCTTCCCTCGATGCTGTGTTCAGGCGAAACCTAACTACTGGGAATGTACCGGGTATTGGTTTACCATTGAGTTTATGCATAGCATCAATTGATTCTTCATCTGTCTGTAATAAAAACATAAAAAATAAAAATATTAAGAAAAGAAATCTGTTACTTTTGCTGGTTGGAATTTGAAGTTTACAATAAAATTAGTTATTGTTAACTTCACTTCTGTACTTCATAGTTCTTCTTAGGCTTCATATAAGCGAGCGCCTCCTAGCCGAATATCAGCAGTAGCTGTCGACTCGTCGATGGCTGCCTTTGACTCTGTCGTAGGCGAGCCGCTCGTGTACATGAAGCCTTTTTAGTTTCGATTTTGGGAATTGTAAAAATAAACAGAGGAGCTCGATGGCGCAGTTAGCGCGTTCGGCTGCGATCGTTGAAGATAAGCAACTTTCGCAGTGGTCGGTCATTGGATGGGTGGCAAAAATTCTTCTATCTCGAGTTCCTCCGTGCTTCGGAAGGCATGTTAAGCCATTGGTCGCGGCTGCATCTGCAGTCGTTAGTACCCGCCAATCAGCACAGGGCCCGCGTGGTGGGTCATGGCCCAATATCCCTATTCCATCCAAAGGGAAGGCTTGTGCCCCAGCAGTGGAGACATTAATAGGCTGATGATGATGATGAAAAATAAGACTACTTTACCACCCCATAACTACAATCCAATCCGATAAGTGCAGCTCTATAGCTGCACTGGTCTGACTATTCAGACCACCATGAAAACATTCCTGATGAAATACGTATACTATATATAATAATTACCTGAAAATGCACAAATGCATAACCAGCAGGTTCGCCAGTAAATTTATTACGCATTACTTTTACAGCCAATGGTCGCTGCCCCATCCGATGAAATGCAGCCATTATAAAGCTCTCCGTCATATTTGGCTCCAACTAAAACAAAACTTTAATTAATAATGATAACGAAATTAAATAACCTATACATAACACTTACTATAAAGACAATTATGTGACATCTCATTAGTGTTTTCTATTGGTTATGTACGAAAATAAGAAACATTATTTTGTAATGTGTTAAAAACATCACATGAGTTTGGTTTGGTTGAAGAGGCCTCTTTTTAGGTTGCCTCACTCGTCCTCCATTTTTTTTTTATTTTCTTTGGCTTAACAAGGCTTTATCTAGACCTATGCTTGCCTTTTGGAAAGAACAAAACGAAGAAAATTTTAACTTCAATTCACGACGTAATTTTTTACCTACAAGAGGAGAATTTATAGCAATCTGATTTATTTAAATGTTAAACTTGTAAGTTGATCAATAATTTTAAATGGTACCTAAGTGATTATTTAAATTCAAAAAGTGTTTTCCTTTATATATTTAGGCAATTCACATGTAGACTTTGTTTTAGCAGGAGACATAAGTTTGCCGTGCAGATGACTGTCAGCCTGTTCATTTAATTAAAAAAAGAGTGATAACCTTCAAAATTTCTTTTGTTTTATACATTTCCTTTTGTTTTGTGCCATGTGCTAATCTGCTGACCCTTTTTCTTTTCAGACGTAGGCGTTTTTTTTTATACTATAGAAAATTTTATATTGTACAGTGCCATAACATACATTCAAATCATAACAATGATGCAGGGGGGACAGTAAGCGCATGTAAATTGGTACGGAAAAGTAATTTATCCGGTAATCCGAAAAAAATATTCCATTATGTAAAATTCAGGTAAAGATTATAATAATATAATAATTAATATATAAATAATATAAATATAAGATGATAATTGGACCAAGCTTCTAAATTCAAAAAAATGGCAAAAAGTTAGAAATTTCAATATATAGACAACCCAATGTTCTCGCATTTTGTTATATTTTTGCTCAATTCAAATTTAATTTGAGATTGTACACAAGCTTAATATGATTGGTGTGTGCGACTCTGTGCTAAACAAGCTTCGAGTTGGAAGGTGATTCGAAATATATCGCCAAAAAATATTTACCACTTTAAAACTATAATGCTTCGTGCTTCGCAGCTTCAACAAAAAAAAAGTTCAAACGCCTGACAACTTTCCTTCGCTCTTGCGTAAAAACATTCGTATTAGATGATATTAACATTATTTATTTATGATTTCATCATATATATCATATCTATATTGGCAGCTTAACCCCATAGCAACAGGACATAGGACATCACACTATGAAGATAACTAAAGTAGACCTTGCTGTTTTAACATCAGCCAGAAGTTTTATTTTTTATTTATTTATTTTTTTGTGATTGTGATGTTCTCTGTTTCACACAGAAATTTTGACAATGTCCCGTAGTGAGAGAGACACAAGAAAAACTGCTTGGTAGAAACAGATTTTGGCGGTTTATAGACTTCTAAATAACCGAATATTCAATCTCATTGAGCTGTTCACTTTATTTTTTTAAAGCATACACCGCTGAGCTAAGTCTACTTGACAGATCAATAGGAGTTTTGGGCCCAGGAAGTGCAGTATATCGGGCGCATCTACCGATTAAAATATCTGATCAAACCAGACACGGCATAATAGGACATTATAAATAGCTTTTAAACAATTTCCTAACCTATAAATAGTGATACTTGATCAATAATATACTCAACGCATTAACCGACAGAATGCTATAGTAGAACTGCTATAGAAAATTCTAATAATTTATCTAATAAAACAGAGATTGGGAAGTACAAAACATCGAATTACAATATAAAATTACTATAATTTAAGACTTACACTTCCCATCCATAGTTGACACTGCATTGTTAGAGTATTCAATGTTGCACTAAAGAATTACGAAGATAATTCAAATCAATAGTTTTAGACTGATACAACTAAACATGCAAATAAATGAACACACTGAGCAAAACACAATTGGACGTAGTTACGCGAAAACGTTCCAACCCACAAGTCACTCGAAAATGAGTTACCATAACCAGGGTACTATTTTTGACATATTACATCATGTGCACACAAAGATGCTAGTATTTTTAGGTTAGTTTCATCAATAAAGTTTAACCCAAATGTTCCAACCCACCATTATGCCAAGGACGTGTACTCAAAATAAAGTAAAAACATTACATGCATACTGAAACATATTGTTAAAAACTCTTAATAGAATAACATATCGTTATAATGTTCCACTTGTCTTGGAACATTATACTAAATTCATAAAACGCACATTTAATGGTTTCTTAAATGATCCATGTGGGTTGGAACGTTTTTGCAAAATCTTTATACATTTTTTATTTCTGCAAAAATGTTCCATGTAATTTGAAACCTTTTAGATTAATCCATACTGTTTTTTTAAGCTGCGAACACTGTTCTAAATAAATTGAAACCTTTTATTATAATATATTATTTTCTAATTTTTTGCTATAAACAATCCACATATACTTGATCCATTTTTGCTATTAAGTATGTTCTAGAGAATAAGATATTTTTTACCAAAATAAATAACTATGGTATATTTGGACGTAGTAACGAGAAAATGATCCAACCCACAGCAACCCCAATTTGAGATAAACGCAATTTACACACTTTTTCCCTGTAATTATTTCAGGCAAATACTATTGGTTTAACTATGGAATGCCAAACTGATTATTGAATGATATGCATATTTTTTGTAAATACATAATACAAGGGGCATATAAATAGGTAAAACGAGTTTGAAATGTTTTTGCTAAATTAATTTTGTATGAACCTTGTTAAATAGCAATTATGCATAAACTTTCCAAAACGAATTTAAGTGTATTATTTTATAAAAATAAACCAAAAAGAAATATGTAAAATAATAAATAACAATGAGGAACATACAAAAACAACAAAAAAAATATTTGAAAATGTATTACAAAAAAATAGAACGTGATCTTTTGAGTTTAGAACCTATGCCAAAAATTTGCTGATATGGTTCCAAAAGTTATCAAAAACTTATATTATAAACATTCAATTTTCATCATCGTATTCTATGATCTCGAAGTCCGGAACTCCACCAAACCCATCAACATCATCAGTGCTTCTTCAGAACTTTGAAGCGTTCTATAAAATTGAAGGCAATCCTCGGGTATGTAGTGGTACATGGATTGTAAGTCCACTAATTTCGCTGGAGCAATCGGTTTGTCGTTAGGCCACAATAAGCAAAAATCAGATTCTTTTATGTATTGTAGTTCTCGTTTTATTCTTTTATCAATTTTCAACTCATTGAAATCGTCTTCCATCGTAGACCGCATAAAAATAGAAAAAATTATATCTTTATCCAACTTAATTTCTTTTGTATGTAGCCAACTAACTTTAGATGAGTCTGTAAACTTCTTCCTATTGATAATCTTCTTTTCCAGTTTAGTTGTACTATAAAATCAGTCTTTGTCATTTTGTAAACTTGAAGAGGTTTAACTTTTTTACTTAGTTCTACAATAGTGGTATCCATAGTGCATCTAATGATACTGGGCATTGTTATGTATTGGTAGAAGGAGAGGTAGGAAGAGGTGCACAGGAAGTGGATTGCCTTCTGTTCTGAAGAAGCACTGATGATGTTGATGGGTTTGGTGGAGTTCCGGACTTCGAGATCATAGAATACGATGATGAAAATTGAATGTTTATAATATAAGTTTTTGATAACTTTTGGAACCATATCAGCAAATTGGCATAGGTTCAAAGCTCAAAAGATCACGTTCTATTTTTTTTGTAATACATTTTCAAATTTTTGTTGTTTTTGTATGTTCCTCATTGTTATTTATTATTTTACATATTTATTTTAGATATATTTATAAAATAATACACTTAAATTCGTTCTGGAACGTTTATGCATAATTGCTATTTAACAAGGTTCATACAAAATTAAATTTAGCGAAAACGTTTCAAACTCGTTTTACCTATTTATATGCCCCTTGTATTATGTATTTACAAAAAATATGCATATCATTCAATAACCAATTTGGCATTCCACAGTAACACCAATAGTATTTGCCTGAAATAATTACAGGGAAAAAGTGTACCGCTAAAACACAAAATTGCGTTTATCTCAAAATGGGGTCGCTGTGGGTTGGAACGTTTTCGCGTAACTACGTCCAATTCACAAATAAAATAAAAATCCTTTTTTTTTTAGATTCTCCCTTTTTAAGGAAGGCAAAGGGAACAGTGCCCATACAGCCTAGTCTAAAGTTATATTAAACTTTTTTTTTTTCACTAGAATATCGGTGTGACACATTCTAATGTTTCTTGGAATGTTTAGAACGAAATGTATCAACGAAACGTTCTGATGTTTTGAAAAGCTTTCAATATACTCCATGCATCGATGTTTTAAAGAAACATCGAATTGGTAATAGAGTTTGACCACGTAGTGATAATATCCTCTTTGGTTTGACCTCAGTAAAATGACTTCAGTATGACCACTAAAATTTCACATAATACTACTAAGAAAGCATAATTATTACGAATTCTCTGATATGGACCCGATATTGGCAGCACTGCGCAGAGTCAGTGAAGTGACAATTAAAATAACTACGAGTTTCTATGTTTATAAACATATATTTTTTAATATAACCTTTAGTTTTGTGAAAGAAACTAAGATTGAAGTATATTTTTAATAATCTTTTGCAGATTTAGTAAAAAATTAGCGGGTTATTTAGTATTTTTTAATTTGATCTTTTGTAAAAATATAATACAGTTTTTCTGACACATGGCTTTTACTTGTATTTGCTTTTAATGAAAAAGATTATATAAACTTCAATAGTATTTTTTTTTACTATGAAAAGATGGCCTCTTTTGAGATGGTTCACTTTCCACATAAGTTGAGTTTGGTAATAAAATTTCGGAAAAAGTACTCGATGTTTTCATCCAATACATCGAATTATAGTTGCGATGTATCGATTCAAAAAATACATTATTAATTATACGTTTGGCGTAGGTTTGACTTTCACAAGAGCTTGTAACAGCCTAGACTGAAAAAGGGTGCGTGTACTTATGTAGGCGCGTGAGAAGTTATCCTTCTTTGGCATCGTTTAAAATTAGTTTTTAATTGGATGCAAATAATTAATTACAATAAATTAATAAAAAGTCTGGAAAAGGACACAGTCAATAAAGTTCAGTTTTAATTTGAAAAAATAAATAAATAATCAAAATATTCAATTAAAATCGCTACTGAATATAATTTATTAGAACATATGTGATTTGCACTTGTATGAAACTCAAACACGTATTCCGAATATACAAACTAGAAACATGTGGATAAATATTATAAATATGAATACCTATAACTGTTACTTTATTACAAAAAATAAAGATGTGGTTTTTGGTTCTACTACACCAATGGTCAAGAGATGGCGCTGTAGTCTCCTGAATCGCGCTTTGGTTCCGTTGTTCCAGATTAATAAATACTTTTGATAGGCCTTCACAATGCAGTCGTTAGCACCCACTAAATAGAGATTCTATTTCTATTTTGTTGGTAGATTTTTTTATGTGCGGTGAACACAAAAGTAACAGCATGAAGTTGGTCGCTAAAGCGACCAACTTCATGCTGTTAAAATTTTGTGTTACAGTGATGCGCGCGCATCTTAAAATTTCACTCTCATCATTTTTTCATAACGCGCCTAAAGAAGTATAACTTCAATAAATGAGTTTGAGTTTAGAAAAGTATCGAAACAAAAATATCGATATTTCCAAGTATCGAGTACATTTCATAGGGCTTTACCGGAGCCTCTGCAGCCTGATGAGCAACCCCCCCCCCCCACCCCCGGTGTTAAAATTGAAAGAAAAACAATCGAATTTTATTATAGTACGTATAATCAAAAACAAAAAAAAGGACATGTAAATTCACAAATTGCTATATTATATAATGAAAAGAAAACAGCTGTGATTTCTGACATTACAAAAGTGTTCATTAATATTACATTCATAATTGAAATGTTAGTTAAAAAGATCGAAATCTTAAACAATTTAAGAGTATGAAACTTTTTAGATTGAATTTTAATCATTAAAAAACATGATACCCACTTATGTTAACTTGAATCTGACACGTAGTTAACGTCTGCCATTGGCATGCTTCACTCAAGATTATAATTATAGAAGAGGTTACGTCCGTCTTTTTTTCAGGTGCTTTCAAATATGTATACACAGCACAGACAGAATAATAGTGTTACACTTGAATAAATCAAATACAGTCAAGCGAAAAGCACAATGAACGGCGAATCAATCACAGTTCCTAACAATATGGTCGCTAAATAAAAAAATGGGTGCGTGTACTTATGTAGGCGCGTGAGAAGTTATCCTTCTTTGGCATCGTTTAAAATTAGTTTTTAATTGCATGCAAATAATTAATTACAATAAATTAATAAAAAGTCTGGAAAAGGACACAGTCAATAAAGTTCAGTTTTACTTTAAAAAATAAATAAATAATCAAAATATTCATTTAAAATCGCTACTGAATATAATTTATTAGAACATAATTATGTGATTTGCACTTGTATGAAACTCAAACACGTATTCCGAATATACAAACTAGAAACATGTGGATAAATATTATAAATATGAATACCTATAACTGTTACTTTATTACAAAAAATAAAGATGTGGTTTTTGGTTCTACTACACCAATGGTCAAGAGATGGCGCTGTAGTCTCCTGAATCGCGCTTTGGTTCCGTTGTTCCAGATTAATAAATACTTTTGATAGGCCTTCACAATGCAGTCGTTAGCACCCACTAAATAGAGATTCTATTTCTATTTTGTTGGTAGATTTTTTTATGTGCGGTAAACACAAAAGTAACAGCATGAAGTTGGTCGCTAAAGCGACCAACTTCATGCTGTTAAAATTTTGTGTTACAGTGATGGGCGCGCATCTTAAAATTTCACTCTCATCATTTTTTCATAACGCGCCTAAA